GGATTTTTACTTGATATATCGAGAAAGGATAGAATAACACTTATTTTTGGGGGCGTTCGGTAATTTTCGTATATTTCTTTTCAATTTGTCTATTTATTGTAATGTAGATCCATTATTGAGGGAACAATCGTTGGTTGAATAACTGAGTGATAATATTTGTTTAGGTAAAATTATAGATTTGTATTTATGATGAAATTTAGAGCCAATGTTACCCCTATCACCCTGTTCTGATTTCGATAATTCATTGTTTTGTTTATCGATTACCTTGATAATCGTTACTCAACGGTGAAAGAGTTCAGAAGGTAATAAGAATTAAAAACTACAGTTCATTATTGAACAACACAGACAATAAAGTTACAAGAACATCGAGTAAATTTGAGCAGAGAAACAAATGTGTTTGAACGAGTCGATACAGAGGCGGATTCACAGTCAAATTAAATCCGCCACGTGTTAACGGCAACAGTGGCTGGCGAATATAGCCGTCTGTTATACATAACTGACGTGATGATGGAAGTCCGCTATCTCTTCGAAACTGGTGAAGAAGTTTGAGTTCTTCCAGTGAATTCTAACGACCGGCTTCACGAATCTGTTTTAAATATACAGGCGGCAAATGGAAAGGCGATCGCCACATATGGTAAAAGAAACGTTTAACTTAACGTGTGCTTACGCAAAACTACTCCCCTGATCTTCGTTGTTGCAGATGTTTCTATGCCAATTAATGGTATAAATATCACACAACACCACGAACTATCTGCTTGTGCAACTTCATTTTCCGGTTACAGATTATCTGCAGTCACAATTAGGCACACAGTAGACCCATTCTATCAACCATTACTCGATAAGTAATCTGTGATATACCAACCGCGACCGAAATCGTCGTGTGCAACCAGCAACGTTAAACATCAAATCTCGACTACAGTATTCTCGAAAGCACGCCGACTGGCTCCCGAAAAGCTTAGGTTGGCTAAAAATGAGTTTGACCACATGATAGAGTTAGGAATCATTCGACCGTGAAACAGTCTATCGGCATCTCCCTTGCACATGATCTCTAAAAAGTACAGCAACGATTGGCATCCAACTGATGACTGTCGACGATTGAATGAGAAAACCATTCGCGATCGTTACCCTTGCCTCATATTCCCAATTTGACAGCTACTTTGGAAGGTATAACTGTCTTTTCGAAAATCAATTTGGTTAAAGCCTATGAACAAATACCCATGGCTACAGACGATATTCCAAAAACCGCTATCATCACTCCCTTCGAACTCTTCAAATTTTCGGGGATGCCTTTCGGCCTAAGAAAGGCTGCACAAACCTTCTAAAGGTTCATAATTGACGTTTCTAGAGATCTAAACTTCGTACATGCGTACGATGATGACTACTTAATAGCAAGTTCGGACGGAGAATCCCATCTCCAGCATCTGGACATTGTGTTCAAACGACTGCAAAGGCATGGCATTACTGTAAACATTCGGAAATGCCAAATCGGAACCGACTCCTTAAGTTTCCGCGGTCACACTATTGATACTCAAGACATCCAACCTCTAAGAAGCAAATTAGCGGCCATTCTGGATTACCCAGAACCGACCACCATTAAGTCATTACCCATGTTTAACGACCTTGTACGTTTCTGTAGACTGTTCATACCAAAATGCGCTTCTCTCATGAAACCGCTAACCTTGGAAACGCGAAATCCATTAATATGGACGACAGAAACATTCTCCACAGTTAAGGAACTTATTTCAAAGGCAACCCTGCTGGTACATCAGGACACTCAAGCGTCTATTAGTATCGCAGAAGAGACATCCGACTCAGCGATCGTCTTACAACAATGGGTTCACCACTCTTAACAACCTTTGGCATTCCTCTCGAGACGGTTGCTGGACAGTGAATCGAGGTAAGGCACTTTCAGTAGTAAATCCCTATCTATGTATTGTGCTGTACGGAATTTTGAACACTCTAACGAAGACCGAGAGTTCACCCTTTTTACTGGTCATAACCCCCTTACTTTCTCTTTAAGCTCATCTTCAGACGAGTACTCACCTCATTGGTCTCGACAACTGGGCTAAATTTCGCAGTTCACTTCAGATATACAACACATTTATGGAGCAAATAATGTAGTTGACGACTCTTTGTCTCGTATAACTTCCTTGAACGGTTGTCAAGGAATCAATCTTCTTAAATTCGTTCAACTTCAGAAAGAAGACACTGATCTTCAGCACGTGTTATCCTCAACAACCCTAAAACTGCACATTAAACAGACGGGAACAGGTAAGGAAACCTTACTATGTGACACATCTACAAGTGGGGGTCGTCCAATCGTGCCGAAACATTATCGATGCAACGTCTTCAATACGTTGCACAAACTTTCTCATCCAGGTGTGCGTTCATCCATCAGGCTTATGAAAGAACGTTTCTGCTAGCCTGGTATGAATAAAGACGTGAGGGAGTGAGCACGCTCCTGTGCAAGCTGCAGGAAATCTAAGGTCATTAGACACGACAAACGTCCATTAGGCTCGTTCAAAACTCCTGACGCTCATTTCGACCACGTTCATCTAGACTTGGTAGGACCCTAACCAGATTCAAATGGATACACTTATCTTTTAAGCTGCCTAGACCGTTTCACTCGATGGCCAGAAGCAGTACCTAGTAAGGACATTACTGCTGAGACAGTGGCCCGCGCTTTCGTCGTACAGTGGGTAGCGAATTTCGACTGCACTTCAACCATCACTACAGACCGCGGACGCCAGTTCGAATCAGGGCTTTTCCTTTGTCTGACCATACTATTAGGAATCACGCGCTTACGAACGACCGCCTACCACCCACAAGCAAATAAGTTCACAGAACGCTTTCACCGACAAATAAAAACCTTACTCCCAGCTGCAAATGTTTTAAAGTGGACCGACGCCCTTCCACTCGTCCTACTAGGTATTTGCGATGCGGTAGAAGCTGACATTGGATACACTGCATGTGAACTCGTTTGTGGAACGACACTTTGACTTCTGGCAGAATTCGTGGATCCTTCATCTTCTTCAATGAAAATGGATCTAAACTTTTACACGAGCAGGCTTGCAAACGCAATGCGTTATTTAAATCTGCTTTCACTCCACCGCAATCAACTGATGTTTTCGTTCAATCTGACTCAGGACATAGTACACACGTCTTTGTAGATCGAGACTCACATCGATGACCACTTGAATCAGCATACGAAGGACCCTTCAACGTTTTTCAGCGTGAACCTAAATACTATATAGTCGGCAAGAACGGCACTAACGATAGCATCAGCATCGTTTGAATCAAAACAGCGTATCTAGATGGAAATTCTTCTGACATAGATTTTCCTTCATCAGAATCGAACGACACCTCTCCTGCGCTTATAATACGTCATCCGACAGCCAACACGTACGTTGATACTTAGACATTATCTGAAAATAAACTTAAAACAAAGCATTCTGGAAGAAGATTAAGATTTCCATAACATTCAAACGATAATTGCATGTAAGACGCCAGTTCACATTTTTTCTTAATCTCGATTTTCCTTTATATTACACATGAAAAACGTTTAATATGCTTATACTTATATATTTGTTCTTAAAAACAGAAAAAGAAAACGATTTTTTCCTAATATATTGAAGGTTTATCTGGAAAACACCTGAAAAATTCTTTAAAAATCGCTCTTACTCCGTTGCAGGTGCATGAGTTTATTAACCTTTTTCCGTCCGCTTTGTGTCTTTACGGAAGTACGAGTGGATTTCGACATGCACTTAAATATTCTTTTTTTTCAAGGACGACTGGAAAAGACATTAAAAAGAACGATCGAGTTTCGGAGGAACGGAAATTTTTACTTTGTTTCCTTATTACTATATTCTACTTCATGGTCCCTTATAGTAAGATAAGACGATCAGAAGCTGCTGAATATAGCAAGTTATCGGAAGAGTGTTTACCAACGACAAACTCGTTGGGTTTTTCTTCTGGCTGGCCACGTCGCAGCGTCATCACTACCCCACCAGTGAGGAGTGATCTGTAGAGGTAAATAAATCCCCAAAATCAATAGCTCTGTAAGTGTTCGACATTGCATGCTGACCACATTAGTTCTAATGGACACACCTAACTGAAGGTGCTCGGTCATGCACCCGCATCAGGTCACGAGTAGAAAAGTCGTCCTTTGATTTCGATTGATGGGTACGATTCATTATAGCTATACTGATTAAAGCGTTGCTCAACTCTGAATACATGTGGCATCTTCCTGTTCATTAAGAACATTTGCATTTCTCACACTGCATGCCGCAGGTGACAGCAAAACGGCATCCACGTCACTTATATGTGTTCCTTATGACCGTGTTGAGATGTGATCCTAGCAAAAGTTGATAACCGTAAAATAGAAAGCAATACACTGAAGGCAGGTAAAACAGGTAAAAAGTGCAGTATAAAATGTTAGGTTATACTAAATCTAGCATCGACGTGGAAAACGGTGAAAGCCGAATAGCAAGCTGTAGCAAAGCTTCACTTAATTTTAAATTGGATAAAGCTCAAGATGTAGTGTAACCTACAGCATGTGTGGTTTGATGTGCATGATGTTTATATGCAATCATTTGGACGGAAGCGATAGAATTTGTAACCACCTCAACTTCATGATAACCTTAACAAAATATTCACCTGTTCGTCCGTAAATGATTAGTTTGACAATACCGAATGGCATGCTGTTTACCAAGATGATGAGGAATGTATCTTTAACCTAATACTATGACATCCGAAGCAATTGTGAACGTAATTACCATGAAAATTAAAAACTTTCAATAATTTCAAAAGAATAACGTTTAATGTCACGATCGTATGCTCTTAAAAGGCATTTAACAGTACATACAAACGAACTCTTAAGTAACTAATGTTAGACACATGCAGATCAGATAACCCTAACTAGAACGAAAGATGGGATGAAATTAGAATCGAGGTTAAATTGAACAATGTTTGCGAACATTGAAGCAGAATTTTGTGCTATATATAAATATAAATTTAACATGAGCTTCAAAAATTAAAGCATCGAAAAATTGTGGATAAATTCGTTTTTCTGAGTCAAGTAGTCATGTACAGGCGATTAGGGATTTTTGTTTTTCCTTGCTAATAATATGTATTCAGGTCGCTAATGTTTTCTCGCACTGTTTTGTTTCCAAGCCACCTGAGGCGATAATGTGAAACACTTATACGGGAATGTTATACGAGTAAATAACATCTCGATTTACCGATATTTAAAGAACTACACTGTTGTGAATCTCAGCGCAAGTTTTTGCTTTACAAAAAGTAAGGTTTTGAAGTATTCTGTAAGTACACATCGAGGTGAACATTTAGACGAAATATTTCATTTCTAAGAAGATTATTGCCATTGTTTTTCATTAGTGTTCGTTTTAATACAGAAACTATTGTGCTATTTTAAATCACTTTGTTCGCTGTATACAGTAAATAAAGTGATTCTAAATAACTGTTGCTGATTATTCCAAGATATCACTTGAAGTTTCCGAAGTTAAATGATTCTTGTTAATCGTAAAGTATTTTTGTCTGAGATAAGTATATTATCTGTGTATATGTACGTTACACGTGTTGCGTATCTTTGGAGTACTAATATGATTTTACTTCCGTAAACAACCACAGTATAATTCCTGTCTGAAATTCTAGTACCCACTGATTTTTGAACGCTACGAAATGATGCACAGTAGTAAGACACCATACTCGTATGTATGATTACCATTATTTCGTTTTGTTAAGGTTTCCTTCTAGATCCATGATTACTTATTGACTCCAAATGTATGTGGAAGCCCATATATATTGATAAATTAGGATCTAGGTCTTTTTCAGGGTTCCACTTTAACAGGCACTGTTGCGCAGGACGCTATTGATACCAAGGAAACAAAAGTCACTCATCGAACCGATTATTCTAGTATTCTAGTTTGGAGTACTAATGATTCTAAATCATTATAGAAAGTTTAAGGGATATATTCATTTGTAGATATTTACAAACAAATTGCATGATTTTTTGATAAAATGCATCTCCTACTTGCTTTCTGAAATTGTCTTCTAAGTTGTTTATTTCCTCAGGATTTATCTGTTCTCTTCTTTATAGTATCAGTAAACAGTTATTTTCTGAGCTATCTAGATCCCTGTTAACTAATTTTAAAGTAAGGTCTATCAGATAAGTAATGAGGCCTAGTCTACAGATGGTAGTTCGGGGTGGTGAAATATTCTTGAATTTCGTAATCACAGGATAGTTGTATGGTCGGATGTGGAGAGCTATTTACTATTTCTTAGACATTCTGTACGCAATTTCTGACTAAATTATGTTTGAGATGACTGAAGAGCATGTTTGACAGTTGTAAGATAAACGTATGTATAGAAGATCTTTTATCATTTCTGGTTGAGTTCGTGACTGATGGCGATGATGAATAATCCCTACGAAATATACATCTTGTGCAACTTCATTTATACTCTGTCGACTAACCACTTCAGTAAAGCGTGAAAATATGAAGTCAACTTTGTTAGGCAAAATCAGCAAACTGCTTGTTTCCTAGAATCTGCCTCTGTGTAGTTGGAGTGTGTTTTTGCTTAGGCAAAGGTTTGGTTCTTGTTATGTTTCTTCTATTAAACGAAGGGCTAGACAATTAATAATAGCAGTGATCGATCCGTCACAAATAAAGTGGCCACCTTCTCAACACAGTAATAATCAAAGCTTTTGATAAATTAAGCAGTGTCATCGTTTTAGAGAGTGCCGTAACTTTTCAACTTGAGCCATGAAAACGTTTATACAGGTTTTCATGCCAGCTGTTTCGGGTTCAATATTGAGTGGATGTCAACTGAATTTTCACCTATCAATGAAGTCTACCAGTGGACTATTCGGGTAAAGAAAACTATTGGCGGCATGATACGTTGTGATTATGCCCTTCCAGTCCTTCTAGACTGCTATGACTCTCAGTTAGGAGCTTTTGAGCGAGCTGAGTAAAAGTTGTTTTTCAGTCGTAGCACCTTTTCACTTTCTGATCTTGTGCACCTCCCGAAATGGTGATAATCTTTGGGTAAGGAAACGATGCAGTGTTTTTTAAAAAGTTGTAGGTAAAGTCTGTAAACTACTTTGAGCCATTTTGGGATCACATTACCAACTATTCTGAAAAGAAACAACAAGAGTTGTTATGCTCTATTACCTGTAGTTAAGAATGGAAATAGAGGTTGATTATCACTAAAGGTGATGCTTGGGTCCCTTTCAGTAATGAAAATGTGATGCGTAAATCTCCCAGGAAGTAGATGGTGGATGTAACATCCTTTTTGCCCACTACTAGCATTCTGCATTTATTGGTGTTGGAGGGAGGGGAAAGATTTTCGTAGTCTTATCTTATATCCTTTATAATTCTTCTTGAAAAGTGAAGTGTTTGGGAGAGAACTATGATCAATAACAAGCTGCCCATGTATGTCTTTAACTTTTAAGGTCCATCTCTCTTAGAGAGAACCGCTGTAAAGTACACATACCCCTTCATTGGTAGCAGGACATTTGGTCAGAGCCACAAGTGACGTAAGTTAGTAAAAGTTGATTTAGCTTTCTGGATCTGCGCCGAGATTTCATCATATATCAGAGGTGATTAGACTTCTAAGTTAGGTGAAGTGGTCAACTCAATCTACTACTTCACTCTTTATTATTAGTTCAAGCTTTAACGCAGACTAAAACTGAAACAAGAGTTTTCATATAAAAGTAACACTCGTTGTATGTGTCACCTTTGTTGCCCATCCATCAAAAGACTGCATTCTGCAAGCATCTTTACCAGATAGAACTATACCATCTGCACGTACTTGTTTGATGAGTAAATACCATATAAGAGACCAACCACTGAAAGTTTAGATGAAGAAAGTGTTATTCTTAGGAGGAAAACTAGAATAAATGTGGACAATGAATAGCTAAGGCGAATGCTGCCCCACACACTTTCCACAAGTGAATTATGTGCTTTTTATTGCTTATAAGATTCAGTGACTTAATTTCTGTGGGAAGTATTGCTCCGGCAAACAAAGTATGTTGCCTTATTTAATCGTTAACTGACGGATGGCTTTCATATATATTTGTCTATCAGTAATAAGAAGGAGTTAAATTAAAGAATTATTTGAAATTAATTTTAAGAGGTCAGTGTGATGAAAAGAATTCATCATATTAACGTTTTAAGAAAATTCTTTGATATAAGAATCTGTATTTATGTTATACTTTCACGAAATAACATCTTAATAGCAAGTCACTTTAGAAATTAACATTAAAACGTACCTATTTTAGATAAGGGTCAATGACTTCAACGAGTGTCAGCATAGATAATATATCTAATAAAAAGTGACATTTCTTCTTTTAGATGGTATTCCATTATTAACTCATCAGGATATGTTCATGGATAAACTCGTTTTCACAATTATGTACAAAAAGTTTAACAATTTTCATCTTTTATGTTTCCTAAACAAGTTAAAACTCCTTCATTGGAGTTGGCAGACTTACTATCTACTCAGTAGTTTTTGTGACGTATACTAGTTGGGAGACGATGATCTTTGATATCTGTTTTCAGTGGTGTACTCAGCAATCAATATTTTAAACAAGTCGTTTAACATGATAAAATTTGACTGGACCGAAATTCTTTATTTTCTCGTGGTACAAAACGGTGTATACCTTCTTCAGAAATCATAGAATGAGTAATATCTTCAGCAATTTAACAGAATAATCAAACTATTACAGTGCTGGTATTTGACAGATAATCTTGATTTCTGATGTCCCGAGAAATTAAATTCCCACTTTTCCTCATGAGATTAGATAAGAGTCGATCTTAAATAGCGGTCGCGTTCCTTCTAATCTATTGGACTTTCAAAATTTGTTCTATCTTATACGATTGAAGAAGTTTGTGCAAAACGTCTAGTTTTATGGAGATAAACATTCAAAGTATTTCAATCCACATATGTTGAACATTTCTTTTATTATTGTTTTATAGTGTAATTATTCACTCCTTTGCTCATAGCTATACTCTCTATTTTTAGACTAACAGCATAATCGATAAACAAAGTTTCTGCTTGATCATCATCTTTATATGATTTATAATAGTTATGTTCTAAAGGATCATTTTACTCTACCACCGGAGGTAATTGTTTATTTTTGAATGGTAAAGTATTTTATATTATCCAGGATTCAAATGCCAGATATATCAGTGAATTAACACATAATGAACAGTTATTGAAAGAAACTAAATTAAAACAGTTTTTGATAACAGAACAAAAGAGGTCGAAATTGTATAGATCGTTAATTGCTAAAGTTAATGCCAGTTGTATAGATGATGTGAGAATGCTAAAACACTTTTATCTCCAAGTTTAGAAACTGTTATCTAATTTACCCAATGAATCAGTTCTTACTACTTTGAACCAAAATGTATCGTGTGATAGCACGAGCAGAACAGATTCTCAAAGTAATTTTCACAGCTTGGCTTTTTAATAGTCCGTTAAAATTCTAATTTTTGTAGAGTGCAGTAATCATAGTGAAGCATTAGCTAATGTAAGTTTATATTTATTATTAATATTTTCATATATTTCCCTCTGTTATCACTTCCTGTCTAAAGTTTACCAATCCTAAGAAAAACTTTCGTTTCCGTTTAAGCCGTTTGTTTGTCAAATAATCATAAAAAGAAAACCTGTGGTTTTTATTGCGTTTGACATATGAGTGAGATTATGATTCATTTGTACTAATTGTTTAAATCTCCTTAGTGCTGTTTACAACTTTAGTTGATCAGTCCGTTTTGATACACGTGGATTTTATGTGAATCACCTTAATATTTCCGTTAAGTCACAAGCATCATAGGCAGAGTTTGATGCTAGCTAACAGTGGAATCCAGGACTAGCATTTCATTTTATTCGCGACTGTTAAGCCATACATACCCGCATCTCAGATTTGATGATCGCTTTGGAACTCGAACCCTACACCGTTCCGATACCACCGCATTATCAACTCAGCTTAATGAACATCAACCCTGAAATGTGGGTGCACCAGACTGACGAGACCCAACTAGTGCAAAATGCGCCTCCTGGATTCCATTGCTTATAATGAGTGAGTTTATGTTTAAATACTTATGGTAGAAGTGATATTCCCAAAAGTTTGAAACCAGTCTCAGCACATAAGGTTTAAAAGTTGTAGACATTTGTTAGTTATATCAATAGAAGTGTTTCATGATATCCAACATTGTTTAATATACATTGACCGATAAAGCTGAAATCAGTAGTCTTAGTCGTTGACTGATGTGAAAGTACATTACATAGTAATTTGCTTTTTATAATAGTTCATGAACTGATTTAAAACCATTTTAAACTTCAAAACTTTGCAATCAGTCTAGCTGTACTAAAGAACAAAGTTCATAGGATGATCAGATGGTGAATGATAAGTAAAAGCCTGGATATCTGTATTTGTAATTTTCAAACACCAAATTACACTTAGGTTATTGTAAACTATCAATTGCTTAACTATAACTGCTAGTCAATATTAAAAACATATATTCTTTGTACCATTCATACAAAAAGACTTAGATTTGTTCGGAAACATCTTACTTAATACTGAGATATAAAAAGCATACTTCTATCATAATCTTCACGTAATTTGATGAGGATGTTTATTTCAGAGATAACCGTTCCTTACAATCTTCTATATATCGTCAGACAGATACTTTCGACACTTATTTTTGGTGATATTTTGCACGTTCTCATAAAATATAAAATTGTTTTTAATGTGTTTTTCAAATTATTCTGAAATATTATCAGAGGGTTTTTTTGTGAAGATTTAGTATTTTCATAGTTGAAAGCGTGAGTCAATTGAAGCTAGAACACCAGGGAAAACCTGGAAGCACTGGAAGGCCGCTTCATCTGATTACGGGACTCCTCAGCAGTGTGCATCCACAATAGGACGAAACGGCTGTCCAGTGCTTCCAGGTTTTCCCTGGTGGTCCACTTCAATCGACTCACGCTTTCAACTATTCCGAAATATGTTTGTTTAAACATTTATGAACACATAAATTCTTCCTGTGAGCTGATTTCTTTTTAAAGTCGCATAATGTACTATGTGACAACTCCTTTCTCTGCGCGTTATTTCTTTTTATGTTTTTCAGTCAGAAAAGTTTTCGATACAATCACCTAGACAAGAAACTAGTTTATCTAGTCGTACAATAATAACAACAAATTATAGTGATAAATGTACTGAACAGAGTATTGATGACTTAACCAGTCAAGCTAAGGCGTTATCACTTCATAGTTTCCCTTATTTTGTGAAAAGTTTAAAACTTAGAACTTCTAGCTTACATGAGCATAAAGCTAGACAATTAAGACAAGCAGTTGGAAGACGTATTTATTCAGATGCTGAACGTAAAAAAGTCTGTGATCTACGTCGAAATAAAGAAGATTTAATTTTATCGGAAAACATTAAAGGTGATACAATATTCTTGGTTTTTAACTTAAAATTCTTTTTTCGGTCTCTTCTATTAATGTTTTATTAATTCACATCGTAGAATAAAAGGTTTGTCAGTGTGGGGTTTAAGTTGACCAAAGACGCCTAATGATAGTAGTGTAAACGTAATTTAATACATAAGCTAACTGAGTACATCCTTTAGTTAGGAATTAGTCTTACTAAATCAACACTACAGTTTCAACAAATAAATTGAATTTAGAACCTAAGAATTTAGGAATTTCGTTTATGTGATACAAACTACTGAATACACTATTTATCATCACTAAAATGGTTTGGTTTCGTAAATGGAATCGAATTAAAAGAACCTCAAAATAACTTGATACGATTAAAGATAGGAAGACTTGAGAGTGGTTTCCATATAGTAATAGGTTAATTTCTCAGCTGAGAATGTGACGGTGCCTGCTACTTAGGTCCATCGACATAAGTAGTATGTAACAATTGGAAGTGAGAAATCTGGCAACAGAAGACTTCGAGGATTGAGTTTAAGAGAACAGAAGGGGAAATAGAAAGGAATTGTGAACTGTAAGAATCATACAGAATGTAAAGGACAAGTGCTGGAAATTTGCAAATGAAGTATTCAGTGTATAGTTCTTATATTTTAGCAAAATATTCTGTAAGTTTGTATTAGAACTGCAATCGGTTGTCCCCTCACGTAATCTCGTTCACAACAGGCCCACCTAGGAAAATTGTGAAACTGTATTATCTAGCTAATGCCACGCATAGATTCCAAATCTTAAGGATACGAAAAACGTATGAACCAACCTTAGTCACCGGACAACATGGGAATCTGTATCTTCACGCTTGTAAACTACGTTGTTTTCAAAAATCACTAGTGTCAAAGAAACATCTATGGTGCATCGTTGAACTTGGTGCTAATAAACACTATATAAGCTTGTAAATTCATTTCACGCTAAGATAAATAAGGAAGGGATAATTGGTTGGGAATTTTAAAGAATGTAATTTTTCCAAATATTCTTTAGCACTGATTTCTCCCATCGTCAAGGCTTTAATTACTTAGCTAACTTTTTCTAAAATTAGTAAAGCACCATCCATCAGCTTGACTTAATTATACTAATTGTAGGTGTGGCCTAATCATTAGAAGTCAGCTGAAGTTTATGAGTTCGTCAAGCTGACTTCTCCTTAACTAAAATTTCGAGATTATTCTTGGTGATGCGTTGATTGAATTGCAACTTATTTTTGTCTAAAACATCTTCAATGATTAAGAAATGATAAAGTAGCTTCATTTGATTCCGATCGAAATTTTATAGACCTGTGTCGTAAAAACCAACTCAGAATCTTAAATCATGTACTCTTCCTAAGTAATAGCACATGATAACATAATTCTCATATTATGTTTATAATGATGTAATCATGTATCATCAACAATTGACAATGATTATAAAACTGTAAAGTCATCTACCTGGATATAATTTCAAATCAATATGATGTGGTTATTTATTTTGTTTATTTATTGAAACACATAAACATTGGTATAGGGAGGCACCAAACATATATGTGACATACTTCACCATTCTATCTGTGTGAGGGCTGAAATAATGCCCTAGCGCCCAAACCGAAGTAGGTGGTTTTCTTAGGACGCCACTCCTCAAACCTTTGATCTAAAGATCTAATTCACAAGACAGTGGAGCAACATCGTAAAATGCAGTTCCATGGTAGCCGGTGATTAACAATAGGTTCGCATGCCATTTGTTTCCTCAAGATCCTGGAGCCTATGTGCACAATTGGTTGAGAATCAGGGTTTTCCAATTCTCCTAAGTGGACCCCCCGTACCGACTAACCCGATTAAAGCGCCGGACATTCGCATTTTGTCCTCTCAGTTTCGTAAACGACACCCCCATCGAAAGAAGACAGTGAGTAGAAATTCCTTGGCAGTCACTGTATACTCGTAGCTATGTGAAAATATTTCGAAAGGGATAGCGAACTCTCTTAACCCTCTGTCGTACATTGATACATCATATTTTATCTTGTCACTCTATTTATAAAGTTGAAAAAATTAATTTGTTTATAATTTATTTCTTTAGCTAAAGCTGAAAAACATTTTCATCATATAAAATCTAATAAATTCATTAAATCATCTAATTGTAATGAGAAAAATTTAACACAATTTATATCTACACCAAATAATCATCATAATAATAATTGGAATCAAACTATTCAGTGCAATTCCAAAGAAAATGAAGTTTCATATTCCAATGATACAGAGTTGCTTGATTCCAATGATACCGAAAAAATGTAAGTCAATATAAAGTAATTTATTATGTTTGTATTTTTAATTAAGAACTTATTTAAGTAGTCATGCAATTCAATCATCAATTTGATCATGGTAATTTGTTTCGAATTATAATTCAATTTAAATCTGTGGAATCATTAATATAGTTGAAATCATGAGTCAATTGAAGCTAGACCACCTTGGAAAACCTGGAAGCACTGGAAGGACGTTTCGTTCTATTGTGGGACTCCTCAGCAGTGTGCATCCACGATCCCGCCTCACGAACGTGATTCGAACCTAGGACCTACTATTCTCGCGCCAGAGCACTTAACCGATAGACCACTGAGCCGGCATCCAACGGTGTTAATGTCTAACTTCAACCAATCCACGAAATTGAGCAACCGTTCACCAGTTATCTTCAGTGAGTTGATATCTCTACAACAGACTTGGTTGAACTCCACTGGTCACTGCTTTCCACTTGAACTCAATATTTATTTGTCATCAAATAATATACATCTAGCACATTTAAAGTTTTTTAAAGCAACGGACAATCTTGTAACCAAAGTATGTATATAATAAACTGTTCGTAAGCATATCTTTGGTAAACTAATGCTTAACAAATTGAAACTTTATGCAGTTATCTTCCATTAATATTTATTCCATGATTTGTTATAGAGAAGGTTTCGTAAATAATGGGACAAATGCCAAAGTACAGTATGAAGAAACGTTAAACTGGTTAACTTTATTAGGTTTTCTAGTAATCAATAATATGTTTCTGGTTAATAGAACGAAATTAAATAAAAGGTTTAACTTTAAGTTGGTTCGTTTATATTTATGTACTATTAGCAATTGCCTACCTAAAGATCCAAACATTTGAAAGGGTCTAATTACCTATCCTCCTACTATCCAAATAGGTCAATGCACATTATATAGTAAGCCTTATGCCTGACAAACAATTCTTTAAATAATATCGCTAGTTTTGAAATTATCTTATACTTAATATTCCTTGGATTCATTCTTCTTACTCAAATCATGCTGTCCATGTTTAATTTTTTTCTACCACTATCGATACTGTCACTCTCTTATTTCACTATATTCATAGGGTGTGTCGACTCGAACAGTTGCACATATGTTCCAGGTTCAACGTTGAGTATGACTGACAGATGCACAAGCAAATAGACTGGACAAAGTGGTAGTAACATGAGTATCAACCTTGATATCAATGAACTAAGTGTTCATTTACTATACCACACTTTCCTAAGATCAATCTGTATTGTTAACTATGGAATTTAAAAGTCTTCGCCAACCCCATTTAGTCATAAAAACCTATTACCCAACTACAGAAAGTCAGTTCATGTTATTGAGTGACGATTATCTAATGAAATCAATAGGGATTTTTTGTTACATCCAGAATAGTTAATTCTACAGGTTATACCTTCTCATCTAAACTTACGAAGCTCTAGATATAAGACATTTATTTTCAGTTACCATTAAGTGGTCCGATATCTGTCTCCAGTTAGATCTTTTCTGATGATTATTGCCAAAATATACATGCCGCCAATCACGTTAGTGAATGAAGGAATGAAATGTGCTAAATACGAGAATGAATTCTGAATACTCATATTCCATACAATCGTTTTCCGGACAGACAACCAGAGGAACGAAGTGACGCGCATCGATGTGGTGAGTGAGCCAACTCGTTCTAATCAAGCGCAACACAATATTTATATTTAGACAAAAATAATTTACAGACACTTAATGAATAGAGCGAGCAATCGACACACACAATCATGCGAAAACGGCCAGGATTAATAAGCAAATAAGTGATAAGGTCGAAGTGTGACTACCTGGTTGGAATTCGCGAGATGATAGCAATCGATAGTTAGAGAGATTGAATGACATGGCTCAAAATCGCTTGCAATAGCGAAGGTGCATCCACTCTTTGTGTTCTGCAAAATTCTAATCTTCTGAATTCTTCATGTCTCTATCTTTTTTTTCTCTTTTCAAATTTATTTCACTGGATTATACTCCTTGAATAACATCTTCAAACCTTAATCTTTCTCGATTACTGCTTATACTCTTACTATTTCTACCACTATGGGATTTGAATCGACAACTGCATCTCTGTGCTAATGTGGTATGGCAACTCGAACTGATGTACATACATACAAAGTTCTTCGTTGTGACTGACTGGCTTGAGAAGAAATAAATTGGTCTGTTCAGAAGCTAGACTAGCCTACGTCGTCTTGACATAGTACCAGCCACTACAACCTGGTGAAATATAAATAAACGTGTTAGGGTATAGTCTTAGAATTCTTTCTTGAGAAGTAACCCCACCGAAATTCCCTAAACATTACTGATTACCAGATATTTCATGGATCCCAATTTATTCTAGCCCATCTGACTCACTTAATTTATTGTCCCATCTAGTTACTAGAATCTTTCATTTGATTGGTCAAATTCTTTTTATTCTTTGTAGGAATCTGGAAAAATCCGAACGTGATGATCATAATGACGAAATACTTTCCTTATGGTCTCGCTTATCTAATCGCCTGAATAAAGAAATTCCACCGCTTTGTCTTTGTATGGAATATTCTCGCCATGATATTGATGAAACTCCACCATGGCTGAAATGTGCCAATAATTGTAAATTTTATCGTAATCCAGAAGGTGTGAGCAAAGATTCAAAACTTTTAACTTTATCCGCTACTCTCTGGTTGTCAGATTACTATATCTGTTGAACCAATGAGCATCTTCTCACGTGCTAATTGACTAAAAACGGTAATCAATGATTATTACCATATAATCCTACCACCTAAAAATCTACGGCTATCACACTTATCAGATCTGTGTTCTGCCGAACACATGACGTCCCCTCTATTAGGAATGTTCACTAATGGTTCATTTACAAGTACAGATGTTTATATTGATGTATCCTGATAAAAATTAGGTAGTTTTCTTTAAGTACAACTAAACTGGTAGGAAATTATCACTCTTACTTACGCTGTTACCCCTCGTGGAGGAGCATAGGCTACACACCAGCATTGTCTACCCGACTCTGTCCTGGGCAATCCTTACCAGTTGCTATTCATCCTTTTCAAGTCTGCTTCCAATTCTCGACACAGTGTGTTCTTTGGTCTTCCTCTTTTCTGTTTACCTTCAGGGATTCAAGTTAGGGCTTACATCGCGATGCAGTATGGTGATTTTCGTAATGTATGTCCTATCCAGTTCCAACATCTTTTCCTAATTTCCTCATCATACAGAACCTGGTTTGTCCTCTCACAGTAGGCTGTTACTGATGGTTTCCGGAAAACGGACACTGAGTATCTCGCATAGACAACTGTTTATTAATGATTGTACCCTTTTCATGATGGTTGTTGTAGTTATCCAAGTTTCAGCTCCGTACGATAGAACTGTCTTGATTTTCATATGTTCTTCAATTGTAGGAATGCTGTCGTTGCTTTGTCAATTCTCACCTTTACTTTTGCATCGGATCCTCCTTATTCATTGATGGTAATTTTACAGTATATTCCGTCATATGAATTCCGTATGTTGTTGACGATCTCAGCTACACCATAGTATCGAATAACGCTCCATAAGGTTCGCTTATCCACACTCTTAAATACCTTCTCATAGTCAGGGAAGTTGATGTATAGTGACGAATTCCATTCAACTGATTGTTCAACGATGATCCATAGTTTTGCGATTTGGTCTGTGCACAACCGATCTTTACAGAATCCGATCTGCTGGTCTCGAAGTTGGGCATCTACTGAATTTTTTGTCCAGTTCAGTAATGCTTTGTTGAAAACTTTTCCTGATACCGATAGTAGTGTGATACCTCTGTGGTTCTTACACTCTCTGAGATCTACTCAGATCTTCTTTCTTTGGTATTTTGACGAGGTGTCCTTCTTTCCAGTCTGTCGACACTTGTTCTTCCTCCAAAATATTCCTGAATAGAACGTGGAGTATGTTTGCCGTAACTTCTATGTCTGACTTCATTGCTTGAGGTGGTATATTATCAGGTCCTTCAGCCTTCCCACTCTGGATTTGTCTGATGGCCATCCAAATTTAGTCGATCGCTGCTGGAATGACAACTACAGAAAGGTCTGTGTATGCTGCCTCGATGTCCGATGGGTTCAGCGGAGACGGCGTATTCAAGAATGTTCCTAGAAGTGTTCTACACATACATTCCTCTGTTCTTGAATCTCTGTGATTGTCTTGCCTTCATTTTCCGTGACCGGTGTGTCTGGTTTACTACATTTCCCTGCCAGTTTCTTCGTTGTATCATATAGTTGTTCCTTGTTTCTTTCTTTTGTAGTTTTTTCCACTTTCTTTGCTAGCTCTTCCACATATTCCTGCTGGTCGGCTCTAACACTCTTCACTTACTTGTTTGCTTCTGTGTATTCAGATTGTGTATTGACTTTCTCTGTTCTTGTTCGGCTGTTGTTAATTGCTGCTTTCTTTCTTGAATCCTGTCCAGGATTTCGACAGAGTTCCATTTCTCATGATGATGCATCTCGTGGCCCAGCACTTCCTGACACGTTGAAATTAATGCTTCTTTGATCCCCTTCCAGTTGTGTTACATAGTAGTTTATTGTTCTTTGAGTTGAGCCTGTAAGACTTTGAACCTGTCGTATCTCATTTCCATAGCCATTTGACTAGTCCTTCCGGTCTCCCACATTGTCCAGACATTACATGTTGCTTTGGTTGTTAGAAGGGGCATCGGTTTCGTGACTTTCGAAGAATCGCTGCTTTGATCATGAGACGTCAGAATTCCCAGAACTCGAAGGGCAGAGTTTAAATGGTTGAATTTTCTTTAATCTGATTAACATTTTTTCGCAAGTTTGTTTTCTACGGGATGGGACTGCCAAACCCTTGTTTTTTTACTCGGGCTTGGGATAGACAGTAACTCTGGAAGAGCTACAGAAGATAAATTGACACATTGGTTGATAAATACCTTTGGTCGCTTAGCTAGAGAATATCTTCAAAAAAATGTCTAATAACTTCTGATTCGTTCTTATTGCAACTGAGTGAATTTGGTGATGGGATTTTGCTAACTTGAGTTTGTTTGATCATGGAAATGTCGTTTACTGTGGTAGACAAATTACCAAAATGAAACCACCTTAACTGATTACTAGAGCTTGCAGTGAACTTCCTTAAGCACGAAGTTCTCTAAGTATTTCAACTTTTTAAACAAGTAGACTACCTTCGAGATTTGTCTGTTTTATATAATACTCAACCGTTTCGTTGATGACTGATGCGATGTCTATACAAGGAAGTTCAAATGACTAATGATCTCAACTATTAAAATTACTATAATATCCACAAAATAACCCCTCCTGAAAAATTATTAGTTGGATTAGTGTACCATTTGTCTTTGTTACCTACATACACATAAAATTATGGTGACTGACATATTTTCAGTCTAATTCTATATACATATCAATGCACTTTCGTCCTGAGTTAATTACGCCATATTGCTGATATTTTCGGGATTGAGATTGGTACTTTATTTTTTTATCATGACTCTATGATGAATAGATGTATCTTTTTGTTAACTAAACAACATATACATGATTCGCTTAATTCATTTTGACCTTTTTAAGCGAAAACACAAGAATACTGTAAAGAATTTCATGCATGATAATTTTGTGGTCTAAGAAATTGATTCGCTAATACTCTACAATTCAGTTTGTTTACGAGAATTGTTTGAAAGTTAAGGTTAAGTGAACATGTTGCATCAGTTGACTCTTATTAACTCCACTACCTAATACCCGGTATAAAATATCAATATTAAATCAAAGTGGAATATATGTCTGTAAGTAATCGAATTCCGGTTATGGTAATAATAACGCATCCATATATTTGTCATATTGTGAGACAAGGCATTTCTCAGTCATGAAAGTTCTTAAAGCATTTGATGTCAAACTAATTGCAATACGAATATCGTTGCTATATTTCTTGTTGTTTTGGCGAAATCCTACCTTTCTGTTAATTCATGGTATATTTTATCTTATCTTCATAGCTTTTCTGAAAGAGTTACTGGACTACATGCAGTCACTAAGCCTGTCATAAGGTCGAAGAACAAATTCCCATCATATTAAACAGCTTAATTCCATGACATTCGCGACTTTTGGATCATAGCTATCAGATTGTGGTGACTGATTCTACTTGAATAAAAGAACATTGACTAGAAATGTCTTTTGTTTTTAATTCACAAAACCAGTTTAGGATTTTTAAGCTTATTCCCGACTCCATTTTACGGATTTCACTTGAGTGACCGGGTGAGCTTGTTAGTTAATAAGCTTACTCTAGTAATCAGTAATATTATAATCGAATCGTATCTACACTCTAAGGTGAGAACATCATTTATATTACACCTTAGAGCTACTACGAACCTGAAGTTCATTAATCTTGAGACTAAAACAGTTTACGTAATCTGAGCAATATATATATATATATATATATATATATATATATATATATATATATATATATATATAGTCAGTCATCATCAACACAGAGGGTATATATTAGTCAGATTTGATAACGTAAACTGACATGACAATATCTAAATTATTGACTGCATCGACTAAAAATCAAAAGTTGACTACATACAAAATATAAATATTTATTAAAGTACGAAAAGAATGCCAAGAATTATACAAGATCTGAAACATTCATTGGCATTTCATCAATTTGTGTAGAGTAGTATTGTTCAATATCCCGTAAGATTTTGATATCATCCGTCTTTACAAAGTTAATCGCCACACCTTTACGTCCGAAACGGCCCGATCGACCTATACGATGTATGTAAAGTTCACGATTGTTAGGTAAATCGTAGTTTATGACTAGAGATACTTGTTGGACATCAATACCTCGTGCCCACAAATCTGTTGTTATAAGTACGCGGCTGAAATGCAAACGTAATCAACGAATAAATTACTAAAAGTCAATTTTACTGAACGTATTTTTATACTTTTAAATAAAACAAGTATTTAAAACAGTTAGTCTGTCTCATAATTTAGGATAATACAAATGAAAAGACGAAGCTTGTCACAACTATGTGATATATTAGCGCAATACATTTCGAACAAACTGATTATACATATATTAGTTTGTATATGAAAAATAAAACTGGAAGATAAAACAAAGATAAGGAAAATGATGCAAATCATATTATATTGGATAATAAATCGATGTCATTAGGCTATGTTCGCAATGTATTGGATTAATACATTTCATAGTTCTGATACATTTAATCTCATTGAATGATTATACAAATACGAAAAATTGAGCTTAACCACGAGGTTAATAGACACGAAATAAATAAACATGTAATCATAAGATGTTTGTTATTTAGAGGAAGATAAAGAATACTTGCAGATTTTGAGCCACTTCAACCAGTGAGTTATAATATTATAAGCACTTGAATTACGATGTGATGTGGCCATTCTTGGTTTGATTAAACTCTAACACTGGGTATCCGGAAAGAGGAGCGGCGTAACAAGATCTAAGTATTCCTCAAAATTTTAACCTAATGCAGACTCATAACCTCATTATTTGATCAGAATTGTTCAATGTTTTCACTACGTAACTGGTGTTTTGGCACTTGAAAACGATTAACAAACGCTATCCTAGGCAGTTTATTCCAACAATAGACATCCAGATTATTCGGAATTAAGTGGGATGGAAAACATCAAACTGCTGCAACTCCCTGGTATAGATGCAGTTAACGCACAAATGCATAGCCTCTCCGTACTTAAAGCATATGTTGTTGTCGACTAATTCTCAGGTAAAACCAAACTTTTTTTGGCTACAAAACGCTAATCAAATGCTCAGATATCCTTTATTAAAGCATCCAAACTTCAAATTCTGCCAATGACCTAGCCTATCACGACTATGTAGTGTATGGTAAGTAAATCAGGTCGGTTTTCGACTGTCAGAAGCATGAAGTCGCTGATATTAATGCACCTATAGTGAAGGTGAGCAGAAGTAGCAGCTATGGAGACGTTTGGTCTACATTAGTTGTCGTTAGCTTTTATATATTGAAATGTTTTACAACTATAGTGAGTAATGGTTGCTTACATCCAAACACATTACCAGTTACCTACTTTTATATTTAGTATCATAAAACGATTAAACGTTTTTAACTACTTAGCAAACTATTTCTACAGTAACTTAAAAGTGAAAATATTCGTATTATGCATGAAACACAATTTCCATATTAAGTAGGATGCTAAAGTTACCAAAGTCCTTCAATAAAAACAGTATGAAGTGTAAAAATATCAGTAAAATAAATCGATTACGTAGATTTGTACCACACTCTATGAATATATAAGAACTCTCGTCTAAATTAGAGCGAATAGTTTCACAGTATTTGAGCGCTGAGTTGATGTAAGACAATATATAGGAATAATATATATTTGTAAAATCTCAGCGAATGAATTTGTAGTAAATCCAACGTTTCGCCTGAAGTTCAGCAAAACAGACGACTTGAAAACATTCACCCATTAAAGGCGAAATCATCGACGGTATAACTGAGTTTGAGTGGACTCCACAAGGTATATTTTGATGTGGTATGACCCAGGTATACGCACTGAAGAGATAAGAGATGAAATAATAGATATCGCTTCATAAAGACTAGTGGATTTAGTGTTGACTGTAGTCTTAAGTTCAGAAAGAAACCAACTGATAACTTATGAATTTGTATCAAGTATGAGTGTTTGGACTTGTCTAGACACTGCCTACATTGATGGAGTACGCTGACTGGAAGATTATGTGCCTTTGAGTGAAAACAATGCATAAAATCACGAAATCTATGACGTGTAACAAACCATAGGTTTTCCCCTGGTCACAGCTAGATGACTGTTAACCAGGCCTGGAGGATATACATGTATATATGGCGACGATAATGAACCAGGCTAAACTAAAAATTCAGAAAATAGTTTGGAAAGACAGAATGGGAAGGTATACATGGAGGAATGCTGCAACTTAAGATCTAGAAGACAGAATGAATGCATTAGCGCCATTGTAAGCGATGTGGTAAAGCTCGTAACTTCACCAAACTACATCTGTATATAAGTTTATGATGGGAATTTCAAAGTGTTTAGTTTAAAAATGTAAAAAATAAATACGCTGAACAACCAGGATACTTTGAACATACCTATCCCCAGCTCTGAAATCTTTCATAATTTCTTCCCGCTCTTTCTGAACCATGTCACCATGCATAGAAGCCACTGTGAAGTTGTTTTTAAGCATTTTCTCCGTCAACCATGCAACTTTACGTTTAGTATTGCAGAAAATAACAGATTGAGTGACAGTGAGTGTATCGTATAAATCACAAAGAGTGTCGAATTTCCATTCTTCTCGTTCTACTGCCACAAAGAATTGCTTTATACCTTCCAAAGTCAATTCATCACTGTAAAATATCAAAAACAAAAGAGTTAGAACAACCATAATTCTGAAAAAAAAGCTTATATCAAGGTGTCATGAGATGTTTCAAAACAGTGATGCACTTTGATGACATGTTAAAAATTACGGTACATAATCTTACTAATTAAGCATATCTTTCATAGAAGTGAAACATCGATATCTGTTAAGCAAGGAGTAACAGTAAGTCTTTTTTATCGAAACTGGTTTGTTTACAATGGTTGAAGTCGTAATATTTTACTATAAGCTAAATACTACTTATGTGAGTTATGTTTTCCAGTGACATGTACTTCGTTTTAATAGGTACAAAAAGTAGTATCCTACCCACTTTTGTGAGCATGTAAGTGTCTCCATCATTCCTGTTAATTACAGTGGATGAATTTCATAATGCAGTAAAAAAAACCGAACCGAATACCTAGGTATGTTGGGATCATTCAAGAAATATATAATCGATCAAGAAATATGACTGAGATTCTAGTGTACCAAACCTCACCATGTAACTGTGAAAGGTATTAGTTGCCTTTACATACTTGAAAAAGAAGTATAGCAGTTGAGCTAAAAAACAGACTAATCAGTAATAACATATGCGAGTAGCCGTTTCAAGTGTAATCTCATTACTTATTCCATACTGTTCGCTTTCAAGTAAATAAACAACGTCGACAGAGGAAACAGGACAGTACTTATAGAGTAAGATGAATTTATTCTACCTTGCTAGCTTATCATCAATTACATACAGTCTCAGTATAGAATTAAGCAAAAAATACAGATTTTACGAGTCCAACGTTGTGGAGGCTCAATAGGAGACCGTCACTTATTTTGCAGCACATGTTTGGACTCAGATCAGGCTCTAGTTTAAGCACCTATTTGTATGCGTCTCACTGGATGTAGAAAACCCATAGCAAGAAAACCCCTTAATAATGAAAAAGTTAAGAATGTATTTCAGGAACAGTTAGAGAAAAAGTTAGTCAATCGTGAAAGTGATGTCCACCCCGATGTAGCTTGGAATGATACCCAAAAAGTTGTGGAAACAGCATCAATATCTACTAGTAACTTAAATCAAAAGGTCAAGAAAAATCAGTGGATTTCAGTGACGTCTATTAAACTGTTGGATACTAGTAAACTCATCATGTCAGGCTTTAAACACAATGAGAAGCGGACTCAACGATAGATAACAGTAGATAAGCAGATAAGTAGATAAAATCTGGGGACTAGACGTAATCCCATCTGACTAGTCTTGATTGCTGATCGTTCCAGTTTATGAAAAAGAACAAAATGCCTCTTTTGACAATCACAGAGAAATCAGTTCAAATACAATAATGTCAAACATATTAGTTTCAGACATTCTTCGACGTCTAACTATAGCTCGTGAAGAGCGAATCCGAGAAAGACAGGGTGGTTCCGAACCCGGACGTAGATGCGTAGACCAAATATTCACCCTTATGCAGATTCTGGGACTTGGACAAACTTCTCAACGTCCGACTATAGTTGTATTCCTTGACATAAAAGCGGCGTGCAGGTCTGTGGTATTGTCTGTCAGTGAAAATCAGTTGATGAGGTGATGAATCTTCATCGACTGAGATGGTTGGGCCATGTGTTACGTATGCCTGAACACTGATTACCACGACGCGCTATGATGACTAGTGTAGGGGATTGTTGGAAGAGAGTTAGGGGCGGCCAAACCAAAACATGGCATCAGTGTTTGAAGTCACTAACTTCTAGTCTGAGCCATGTTGACAGATGCAGACTACCTGGTTGGGGTCCGCGTGACCATCATAACCAATGGTTGGAGACTCTGTGTGACATGGCTCAGAATCGATCACAATGGCGTAGGTGTATACACTCTTTATCTTCCCTTAAACCTTGAGATTAAAATTGCTTCATATCTCTCTTCCTTCCTATACTATATCCTTATATACAACCTATAATTTATATACTACTACCACCACTACATTAATTACTTCTATAAATCCGGTGTTCATCTTGTTGTGCTAACGAGGTATGGCAACTTGGACCGATGCATATATGTGCCTGGTCCTACGTTGTAGCTGACTGACTGACTGTCAGTGAAAGGCGTGCTGAAGAGGTACATTAACCTTGTACAAGCTCTCTACTCTAACACTACTGGTCGAGTCAAAACTTATGGCGAAATTTCATCGAATTCGGTTACTTCACGTGTTCATCAGGGTTGTTCGTTTTGCCCACTTTTATTCAACCTTGTCATAGATATGTTTTTTAGAAATAACACCATCGTCTGACTTCCCATGGATTAATCTTCAACCAGGAGATCTACTTGTTGAGTTGGAATATGCAGATGATATAGTTTTGTTTGGTAGAGACGCCGAAAAAAGTGCAGTCTTCAAACCAGCTTAAGCTCAATGGGATGGGGTTCTCCAAATGCAAAACTGGCTTGCGTCAGTGCCTGAATTAACGATAATGGGTGAAGTAGTTGAACGTATCGACTACTTCACTTATTTTGAAATTCTCATCAGTACTGATAGTTTGGTGTCTGACAAAATCTTGGCACGGACTCAGAAGACTTGATCGGCTTTGCCAACTTGCGTTACTTGTGGCGTACGTGAGATACACGTCTGCCAACCAAACGAGTTCACTGCGTAGCAGTTCGCTCCGTCTTGCTTTATGAATGTGAAACATGGCAGTTAAGAACAGAAGACATTCATAGGTTACTGGTATACGGTCATAAGTGTTTATGAAGCATAGCTAATGTATTTTGGGACCACAAAGTAAGTAATGCCTGGATTATGAAAGGCGTGCTAGTTAGTAATGTTGAATCGATTAAAGAGGTAGTAAATCATCAACTGAGGTGGCTGGAGTATATGAGCACTTCTTACCTCTCTAGGCGAAGTTGTGTGGTGAAGTAGGCTATGAGAAAGCTAGGGGCATCCAAAATGAAACATGGCATCAGTCCATAAAGTCAGTGACAACTGGACTTAGCCATAGTAACAGGTATAGACCACCTTGTTGGGGTCCGCATGATTATTGTAACCAACCGTTAGAGACTTTGTATGATACGGCTCAAAATCACTTGCAACGGCGCAGGTGAGTCAATTTTTTGTCTTCCCCTGAATTCTTAAGTATTCACAGCTATCGTTTTTGTCCCATTAATTCATATTTCCTCAAATCGTATCTTCGATGCCTAATCTTTTCTACTACCACTGATACTGTTACTACCCCTACTATTTTGGGATTTCGCCTGACAATTTCATCTCTGTGCTAATGGGGTATGATAACTTGAACCGATGTACATACGTACCAGGTTCTACGTTGTGACTAACTGACTAACTTTTAGACAAGTGGGACTCAAAATCCCAAATGGTCAATTATGACTAACGTACACAAATTTGTGATGCAAGGTTTCCTTACTACATAAGCATCAAAGGAAATCAACGACATGAACATATAAGTAGTCGAGATAACAGTAGAAGCAATAATAGTGAGAAAGACTGAACGATGAGGATATGATTTGAGAAGACATAATAAGGTATTTCCGAAAAAAATTGTGCAAGATTTAGGGGACGATCAGGAGTTAGTGAATCAGCGCGATTGTGACAGATTCTGACCCATTTCACCCAACACTTAAGCACTAATAGTGGTTATCGTGCGGACTTCAGTCAGGTAATCTGCATCTATTACCAAAACTTGACCCAGTAGTTAATGACTTGATTACGCCAACCTCAGCATTCTTTGAAACTACACCTACACCATCTAACATCTCCAGTCGAGGTAGACAGTGGATAGCCATAAGTTATACATTTTCGAGCCACTTTATTTGAACTTTCAATACCCTATCATGTTTTATAAACGTGCCTAACTTCACTATTGTTAACTCGGTTGTATTACGGTACAGGAATGCTTCAGAGACAAGTACGAAAATACACCTGGATCCTACATATATCTACCTTCACAGATCAGATTTTAAAATCAAAGAGTAGTACAGATTAGACTACTACATAGTATACGTTTTTTGGTTATCATGTAGACATCTCATGATCCGGGTTAGCAAAAACTAATCGATTAACCTGGATCCGTGATGTTTTACCCACCAGCCTGGTGTGTGACGAAATCAGCACGGATACAGATGGCTCGTCTAGCTTTCGCCAACTTGTGTCATTTATGGCGTAGGCGAGATATCTATCTAGCAACCAAAGGACGGGTTTACTGCACAGCAGTTCGTTCCGTCCTACTTTATGGCAGTGAAACATGGCCGGTAAAAGTAGAAGATATTCGTAGGCTACTAGTATTCGATCATAGGTGTCTTCGAAGCATTGATCGTATATCCTGGGACCACCGGGTAAGTAATGCAGATGTTAGAAAACGGGTACTAGATAAGGATGGCAAATCGATTGATGAAGTAGCGAAACTTTATCAGTTGAGATGGCTGGGACACGAGTTACGTATGACCAACCACCGACTGCCCCGACGTGTGATGTTTTATGGTGTAGGAGTAGGTTGGAAGAAAGCTAGGGGCGGCCAGACCAAGACGTGGCACAAATCCATGAAGTCACTGACAAGTGGACTGAGTCATGTTGGTAGGTGTAGACTACCTGGTTGGGATCCGTGAGATGATAGCAACCGATGGTAAAGACATTGAATGACATGGCTCAGAATCGTTTGCAATGGCGAAGGTGCATGGACTCTTTATGTTCTGCAAAATTCTAATCTTCTGAATTCTTCATGTCTCTATCTTCTATCTCTTTTCAAATTTATTTTATTGGATTATACTCCTTGAATAACATCTTCAAACCTTAATCTTTCACATAATGCTTATACTCTTACTACTTCTACCACTATGGGATCTGAATCGACAACTGCATCTCTGTGCTAATGTGGTAGGGCAACTCGAACTGATCTACATACGTACGAAGTTCTACGTTGTGACTGACTGACTGACCCATCAGAGCTGATAAAACTCTCAAGATAAGTGAAGTAGTCAACGCACTCAACTGCTACACTCCCTATCATCAATCTCAGTCATCATATAGACCAGTTTGAAGCAAAACAACCTTGTTTATGAATCAGTATTAGATTACTAAGTAAAATATTTTCCCCTCAATATCTCCACTATACTGAAGTGAATTTTTATTGCAACTGAAAACATAATGCTAATAAAACTGTTACACTTTCTTTTCACATGTCGGAATCCATATTTACACAGCCTGGGTAGTATTATGCATCCCAAGACTTTATATTAAATGTATTCGCCCACGAAAATTCATCGAGAATAAGTAGTTAGTGTAAGAGCAATATGCAAGAAAGCTTGTGTGTTATGGAGCAGAGGATCGACCGCATAATAACTTGATTTAACGTGGACCTTTTGACCATACAAGTGTCAAACAACTACTTGATCTTACGAGAAAAATAATGAAGCTAACTTACCGTTTTACCAGAATCCGAACAGGATTGGTCATGAACTTTGACGTCATTTCGAGAATCTCATGAGGCATTGTGGCTGATAGAAGAACTACTTGAGTGCCAGGGGGTAAGTACCGGTAAACATCGTAAATTTGCTCTTTGAACCCTTTATCCAGCATTTCATCGGCTTCATCCAGAACAAACAACTTAACAGCTCTTGTTCGTAGACTGCGACGGCGTATCATATCTGCACAAAACAAAAATGTACATTATATTCACAACCTACTACAAATATTCATAACGGTGAGATAAAGACGAACTATTATTATTCAATAAAGTTTGTATTCTCAAATCGTAATGGTTAGTTACTACTATTAAGAAAGAATTTAACGCTATTAACAAATATGTAGTGCAAGTAGCTATCCCAAAAGCAATGTGATAACTGACGAACTAATTAGTGATAAACAACTTCCCCATTTGTTATCCTGTTTATGACACACTTAAATCTAGTCAGTCAGTCAGTTAGCTACAACGTAGGACCAGGCACATATATGCAACGGTCCAAGTTGCCATACCTCGTTAGCACAACAAGATGAACACCGGATTCATAGAAGTAATTAATGTAGTGGTGGTAGTAGTATATAAATTATAGGTTGTATATAAGGATATAGTATAGGAAGGAAGAGAGATATGAAGCAATTTTAATCTCAAGGTTTAAGGGAAGATAAAGAGTGTATACACCTACGCCATTGTGATCGATTCTGAGCCATGTCACACAGAGTCTCCAACCATTGGTTATGATGGTCACGCGGACCCCAACCAGGTAGTCTGCATCTACCAACATGGCTCAGACTAGAAGTTACTGACTTCAAACACTGATGCCATGTTTTGGTTTGGCCATCCGTAACTCCCTTAAATCTAGTACTCCTTCATGTATATTATTACGACATTGCCCTCGCCAACTACATGATACCGGCTCCTTATGAGTCAGCGTTTTAGATGTTTACCGTTGTTTTAATCAATAGTAATACTAGTGAAAAACATATGGAACTACTAAGCGTATGTGTATTTGTGGACAAATATGTTTAATATTACTCACCGAATACACGACCAGGAGTTCCAGATATGACATGCTGTCCGTAGTCTAGTTTCCTAATGTCTTCTCCAATGTTTGTTCCACCATAACAAGCGTGACATTGAACATTCATGTAGTCACCAAGGGCGAGGATGACCTTCTGTATTTGCGAAGCTAGTTCACGAGTTGGAGACAAAACCAAAGCTTGAGTTTCTCTTAGCTGGGTATCCAACATTTGTAGAATAGATATACCTAATGTTGCGGTTTTGCCAGTACCAGATTGAGCTCTAAGAAAGGATAAAATTATAAATAAAGTACTCACTGTGCTATAACATCTCGACCCTTCACTATCTGTTTGATAGCTCTTTGCTGAATCGCTGAAGGCCGCTCAAATCCTATGAGATAAACTAGGGAAGTTAGGGGTTATTACCGTAAGCGTATATCCCACGCAACAGATCGTCTCGGAGACACATTGAATCGAAAGATGGAATGACTTCGATATTTTCAGATGTCTCAAACTCCACATTCTTTAAATCCTCTAAATTATTCCGTTTTGACACACTCTCCATAATTTAGGCAGCAAAGAACTGAAAACATAAGGATGGTTAGTGTTAACAACGAGGGCATTAAAACAAAAGACATTCTACTGCTACGAATCATTTATTTGTACATTATCTAAAACATTAGTACTTCCACGGATCTTCACCAGCTGGAACTTTTCTTTTGCCATAAAGTGCTGATTTACCCTTCATTTCTTCACGCACAGAAATACGCTTGGTAAGTGCACGGAAACCAAACATACCAGCTACTATTCCAGTCACAAACAACGCCATTCGAAAACTACTCGATGACGCCTGAACTTTCATTTGAGAGTTTCAATCCCTATGTAAGATGTTATAAAATAACATTTAAACTAACTTTATAACTTTTGCAAGCTTGATAATCCCAGTAAATTATATAGGCAGTAAAAGTGGGTGCCAATACAGATATCAGATTTCTGCGAGCTGTCTTTAAAACTGAGGAAACTTTCATTTACTAAGAAAAATTACGAAGAACAATGTGTGTGCAATAGACACAAGTCCAACGTTCAGTCAAGGCCAAATCAAGGCAAATGGCGCCTATCTAATGTTCAATATATTACAGTAGCCAATCTTTTATTGGAGAGCTATCAAATACCGGTCCGATTTTAAGGACTAGACGCATCTCCGCTCCACTCGAACAATAAAGAACCTTTTTATCTTTGAAGCCAGATAATTATAGTTACACCTGAAAGTAAGTAAATACTGTAACAATGTATGTCTCCTTGGGACTTGATGAACATCTGGTTACCCACAAAAAAAACTAACCATTTATTACAATTGCCTACCGATCTTTCGTATCTTGCATCTCACATCCCGCATCTCCAACACTAAACGTTTTCACTTCTTCAACATCGCGTACTTTATTCCATCATGGATACCCCCATGAGTTTTCGCTTGAATGATACAACAGGCTGGTGAACTATCTATGTTTTTGCAATCACTCAACTTGAAAACTATCTGGCAACGTGATTCTATGAGATTATTTGTAATCTAAGTTCATTTAGTTAAGTTAAATATTTTCCTGAAAATGTTTGCGTCTACTATCTGTCAATTTACCATTTTTGACCTAAACTTCACTATTCTGATAGTGGATTTATTACGGCTTGAAAATCACGTAATCTGATTAAAAAATTAGTGAGACTATTACTGCAAAATCGGTCGATAAATTGGCAGTTAATTACGTTATTTTCTCTTTATTACCTCTATCTAACATAGATGACTTCAGTATGTTTTCTATCGGTTGCTCATTTCGTACACAGCTTGAAACTGTGTCAGTCTAATCGGTGTTCGAGCGACACAATCATTCACGCAAATCATCAATAAATTCAGTTAAGCAAGTATTGTGTCTACAAAATCGCCAATGTCCAACGAACATTAAAACTGACAAAGGTTCATACCATTGTCATAAATATGAGTTGGGGATGGCAGACTCCTTGGTTACAACCTACGCTCTCTTTCATAATCGCATACGCAGCACTCACTGCTAATTACTTTCTTAAGAATAGATTATCTGAAAACGAACAAAATTATGTCTCTTGGGTCTGCGAAATACAATCTTTAAAAAATTCGATAACTTAAAACCCCGTGTGGAGATAGAACCTTAAAACCTATTTTGTAAATAATTTTTCATAGTTTTCGCATGTATTTTCATATTCTGTACATTAAGCATTAAACAATTGTACTTGTTGTTTAACTGTATTACTTTGAACGCTTGTAACACTCCTTCCTTCCGTTTTGAGTACAACATACCGTGCCACTGTTAATTCTCCTCAACAAATACACTCTAATTCACGTCTGCATCGTTCTGTCCTGTCTGCTAATATGTTGAATGAAATATTAATTGCATACCATCTACGTTTATAGACAATTGCGACATTCTTGTTGAATTCTACGCTTGGTAAAACTACTGGATCTATATCGTCCATATTGGGATTATTAATTTTGTTATAATTGTGGAGTATCTGGACCAAACCCAGCCGAACACGCAATAACCTGAAGACTTAAGTAACGTCCCTTATTTTGTTATTTTTGTGTGTAATTACTTATTAACTGTTAATTGTTACATAAACTATAGACATAATATTTTTGTTGCTAAATTTTTTAATTATCAAACATTTTGGTCCGCCACAATTATTTGGTGAGCCTCGATTATCTTTTTATAGACATTTACTATATATAGCGACATAATTTATTATTCTTATTAATTGGCACGACCCCATTTTTTGTTTTTGACATTATGGACTCCTCTAATAAACTTATCGATATTGATAGCTCATTAACCAACCCCTTTCATTCACCACCGCCAGAAGATAATGTTTTAAACTCAATCAACACTATTTCTGAACTGAGATTACCAACATATGGTGTTAATAATCCCAAAATCTGGTTTGCACAAGTTGAGGCACTATTTTTGGCGAGGGGCATACGTTCACAAGCGACTAAATATACCCATATCGTCGGGGCACTACCTATAGATGTTGCAACGGAAGTCAGTGACCTGATAGATAACGTACCAGAAACGGACCCCTATGACAAAATAAAAGCTGCAGTGATCCACCGTACTTCGCAGTCTGATTAAAAACGCTTACAGCAACTACTCACCGCATGCGAGTTAGGGTGTAGTACCAGTTCATATGTTAGGCCCATATACTTTATTCTAGTTACTGGCCAAGCCAATTCACCTGTACATTGAGTCATCTTTTGATCTTGTTAATCATTTGCTTATTAACCTTGAGTACTTTTTATATGAGCGCATATGTGTACACTTCGTATCTTATTCATCATGTCTGTCACTCATTTTTGCCTGCCTATAAATGTTAGTTAACGCTTGCTTAAAATGAGTTGGCTTCCCAGCCATCTCCAATACGCATCATCTTTGCTTCGCTTGCTTACAGTTGCTCATGTGCTTACAACTTTCTGGTCTGCATCGATTATCAATAAAAATGTAGTTGCCGCTTCCCTTTGCCTTCTGATATTATACACCGTTAAGATTGGTATTAATAACGGTTATCGAAGTGAACTATGATCGAAGCACGGCACTACAAAACTGGTAATCCCGACGAACGAACACGCAACACAATTAGCGATCCCGACTTACGAACGCGAAAACATAATTGGATGTCTCGCCGAACGAACATCGACCAGAATCGACAACCTCGACGTACGAACTCACAACATAATTGGCAGGCCGTATTTGGAACACGCGACAGAATCGGCAACCGCAACGAGCGAACACAAACCAAAAATGGAACCGTCGACGACATATTCCGTTATGATTCAAATAATCATCACAAGCTCATTATTACAATAATGTCATATCATCATCTAACGTGGAATTATTATTTTTGTTCGTATTGACATTAAACTATGACATTTACGCGGTCATATCACTAATCGAACAAATTATAATGATATGGACATTACACGTTATGATATTCGAAACTCACTGGATTATTTTTATTATCCAATGACGTACAATTTTCCTGATTCAAGTGAGTTCGTTCCAATTTTTTTCTTTTTCATGTCATTTTCGGTCTAAGATAACACTATCATAGACATAAGTTTGGAGTCATACTCCCAATAGTAGGAACTTATGTTCTCGATGGACAACTAATGTTCATTCATTTCATTGGTACGCAGCAACCGTCGTTTCCTACATTTTCAGCGACAATCTAAACCGAACTTCCGCAATTTTTGTTTCACGATGATCCCTACTTTAATGTTTATACACAAATCGAGTATTCGACGCCGCATTACCAGCCGATTAGTAATGATTATGTTCATATTATCTATTCATTCACATGTATAACTGAATGCTGCATCATCCATTACCGATAATCACAATTCGATTACTACGATTAATATTCTATTCTCAATGCACTGTACGCCAGAACATAGAGTTTAGAGCTAGTCTCTCAAGGATACACTCTTGTTCGTCACATCCAAGTCAGCCTCACTCGCCGCCATCGATAATCATATGTATTGGTATTTTTGTTATGCCTTAATACGGTTTCGTAACAAACGAGGTTGAGCGCATATCCCTCTAACTACACAAACCACGATAGGCTTCATGACCAAAAAGGAATACGACTCCGCATATCTCGTCTCAGCAGTCACTATCCTGTTCCTTTGGTCATTCTACTAGTACATATTTAACGATAACTCGACGCAAACGGTAACATACGCTGACTTCGCATTTTATTATCATTATCAATTGCAGTACAGCAATGAATATCAACCGCTGATGCAGTCATCATCCTACGGCTGGATTATTTTTTATCCCACGTAAACTCCAATCGTGTAAATTCGAATCCACTCATCGCCAATCGACTCTATTTACTAGACTGCAGCTTATCAGAACATATTTCACTGTTATTTATCCTCATATTCAATCAGCACCACAGAGCAATTACTGTTATACTCTATTTTCACTATATTTCAAATCGCTCATACGAACATGTTATTTTATCATTCGGACAGTCACTACATAAATTCATGTTAAATTTTTTCGAACGCTTACTAATGTACTCATAATCACATGCTAGCATCCCTATTTTTGTCCGCACTTTGACAATATTCATGTTCCTTTTTACATAAGTATGACACTTTCGCTTAATACGCTCACCCCTCACATGACACTGTAATTCATCAGGTATTGTACCATTTTTTCCCACATTTTGACGTTATCCTCATACCGCTTCAGTGTTATTTTTCGAAAACAGACATTTTTTTATAAATGTGCTATTTTCTACAAGGGGGCTATGTAGTACCAGTTCATATGTTAGGCCCATATACTTTATTCTAGTTACTGGCCAAGCCAATTCACCTGTACATTGAGTCATCTTTTGATCTTGTTAATCATTTGCTTATTAACCTTGAGTACTTTTTATATGAGCGCATATGTGTACACTTCGTATCTTATTCATCATGTCTGTCACTCATTTTTGCCTGCCTATAAATGTTAGTTAACGCTTGCTTAAAATGAGTTGGCTTCCCAGCCATCTCCAATACGCATCATCTTTGCTTCGCTTGCTTACAGTTGCTCATGTGCTTACAACTTTCTGGTCTGCATCGATTATCAATAAAAATGTAGTTGCCGCTTCCCTTTGCCTTCTGATATTATACACCGTTAAGATTGGTATTAATAACGGTTATCGAAGTGAACTATGATCGAAGCACGGCACTACAAGGGGACAAAAGACCTTCACAGTTGCTTAGACATATGAGACAACTATCAGGCCCTTATAAGTTAGACGAAGCACTACTTAAGCAGATATGGTTACAAAGGTTACCATATAACGTCAGACAAATCCTCAGCATATCAGGAGCCTCTGTCAGTCTTGATGATTTAGCAGACATGGCTGATAAGATGATAGAAATATATCCTGATAGTCACGGCGTTAGCGCGATACAATCTTCAAATACAGAAAACATGAGCGACGCCCTCAACATCCAACAACAAATAACACTGTTAACGCAGCAGCTAGCACCACTGCAGGCGACTGTTTCCACCATCCATTCTCGACCTCCCAGATCTATGTCCAGAAGGAGATCAGTATCCAGACATTGTCTTAGGTCACCTAAGCGGGCAGCCGGAATGTGTTGGTATCATTCGAAGTATGGCGAGAAAGCACTTTGTTGCACAAAACCGTGCACCTTTAAGACAAACAACCCAATCTATCAGGGAAACGAAGCGGCCAGACAGTAACGGCGGCAGCTGCTACTGGCCAACATGTTAGCCGCCTATTTCACGTCAGGGATCGCATTTCTGGCTCGGACTTTTTAGTCGATACTGGAGCAGAAATCAGCATCATCCCACTCCATCTCTCCCGCAGACAACAGACAACAAGCACTAAATTGTCCTTAATAGCGGCTAACGAATCAGTTATCTAAACTTACGGAGAACAATCTCTTATATTAGACCTCGGGCTCCGCAGAAGATTCACATGGGTATTCATAGTTGCCCAAGTCAAACGACCCATCCTCGGGGCCGATTTTCTTAGTGCGTACAACCTGTTAGTAGATATGACCAACAAGAGACTAATCGACGTAAACACACGTTTACAGGTAAATGTTGCGCTCCCCAATGACAACGAGATCCATGGTGTTCGAATAATGAAACCTGTGAACAACATCTTCAACGACATTCTAACAGAATATCAGTGCATTACGAAAGCAGATTACCAAAAGGAGGGTAACCCACAGCTGGTGCAACACCATATCACTACCACCGGACCACCCACCCGCGCCAGGGCGAGAAGACTCCCTCCAAACAAGTTGCAGTTCGCTAAGAGAGAATTAGAACACATGATGCAACTTGGAATAATCAGACAATCTAACAGTCCTTGGGCCTCGCCGCTGCATATGGTCCCCAAGAAAGATCAGGACTGGCGCCCATGTGGAGATTATCGCCGATTGAATAACCAGACTATCCCAGACCGGTATCCGATCCCTCATCTACATGATTTTTCGTTAAACCTACATGGAAAACAGATTTTTTCAAAGTTAGATCTTGTTCGAGCATACCATCAAATACCGATGGCACCTGAGGATATCAAAAAAACAGCCGTTATCACACCTTTTGGCTTGTTTGAATTCTTGAGGATGCCTTTCGGACTTAAAAACGCCGCTCAAACCTTTCAGAGATTTATGGACGAAGTAACTAGAGATTTAGATTTTGTGTTTGTCTATATCGACGATGTTTTGATCGCTAGTTATTCCACTGAAGAACATATTAAACACTTACATACGCTTTTTGAACGTTTCAAAAGTTATGGTGTTGTAATCAACCCTTCGAAGTGTATATTTGGCGCCTCATCACTGGAATTCCTGGGACACCACATTGATTCCCAAGGAATTAAGCCACTTGAAGATAAAGTCAAAGCCATAACCAGCTATCCAGAACAAACCTCAGTAAAATCACTACGTCGTTTCCTTGGAACTTGCAATTTTTATCGACGATTTCTACCAAATTGTGCCGATGTACTACAGCCATTGACTGACTTACTAAAAAACGATAAATCAGGTAGCAAAAAGGAAAAGAACCAACTATTCAAGTTACCTTCCGATGCCAAAACGGCATTTGAAAAAGCCAAATCTTTGATTGCGGACGCCACCAAGCTACAACATCTAAATACTGACCCAAAACCCATCTGATCCTCTGTACGGACGCATCACAAAAAGCCGTAGGGGTAGTATTACAACAACGAGTAAACAATACGATTACACCCATTGCTTTCTTCTCTAAAAGGTTATCACCTGTACAAGAGCGTTATAGCACATTCGGTCGTGAACTCTTAGCCATGTATTTAGCCGTTAAACACTTCAACTTTTTGCTACAGGGTCGGGATTTTACCATCATGACCGATCACAAACCCCTGTGCTACTCCTTTAGTATGTCGTATGATAGACATTCACCACGCGAAGCAAGACAGCTTGATAACATCTCACAATTCACCACAGACATTCAGTTTATCAAAGGTCACTCCAACATTGAAGCAGATGCGTTGTCGAGAAAAGACATCAATGTAGTTGCATTCAACCATGACGTCAACCTAGAAATAATCGCAAAACTTCAAGCAGACGATGCAGAGTTAAAAACCTGCAAAGAAAAGTCTCGCCTGAATCTCCAACCTGTACCCATCCCATTCTCCGACGCATCCATCATCTGTGACACATCAACAGGTAACAATCGCCCCTTTGTTCCACTTGCATGTCGCCAAAAGTTATTCCAACACTTGCATGGTTTATCACATCCGGGCATCCAAACTACTACAAAGCTGATAAGTGAACGTTTTGTTTGGCCGAAAATCAATTCAGATATTAAACGATGGGCACGTGGTTGCCTTCAGTGTCAACGTAGTAAGATCCAAAAGCATACTATTAGTCCAATCGGAAAATTTCCTATTCCTGATAGACGTTTTCAGCATATCCATTTAGATTTAGTAGGACCTCTACCTTCGTCAAATTCTTTTACTCACATCCTCACGGCAATAGACAGATTCACCCGATGGGCCATTGCATGCCCCATCAAAGACACATCAGCTGAGACTGTAGCATCCGTTTTTCTAGACCGATGGATATCGCACTACGGTGTACCGACAACCATCACAACTGATCGTGGTCCCCAGTTCCAGTCTATCCTGTTTCAGGAATTCACAAGACTTCTGGGCGTAAAACACATCAGAACCACAGCTTACCACCCAGCAGCAAACGGCATGGTTGAAAGATTTCACCGGCAATTAAAAAACTCACTCATGGCTCAAACTGATTCAACAAAATGGAGTGATGCCTTGCCGCTTGTTCTCCTTGGGATTCGTGCCTCGGTGAAGGAAGACATAGGTTGTACACCCGCCGAGTTAGTCTATGGTACAACTCTAACGTTACCGGGCCAACTAGTCAAATGTGAACCTACAACGCAAGAAGATGCTACTCATTTCGCAAGTTGCCTATTACAAGTGATGCAGAACATTAGAGCAATACCACCGCGAGAATACAACAATCCAGTCCATCTCGACAAACATTTAGAAACGTGCAAATTTGTTTTTGTTCGAGTAGACGCGGTGAAAAAGCCACTGACACCACCATATGAAGGTCCGTATAAAGTAATAAAACGCACTTGCAAATATTTCATTATCAACAAAAACGGGAACAATGAAACAATTTCCATAGACCGAATAAAACCAGCTTTCTACGAACCCCCTCAAGCCACTGATGAAAATACGGCGAACAAACAATCACTCCCATCAATTGCTAAGAAACAAGAGGAAGAGGAAAAACTCAGCACTACACCCTCTTGTGTAACACGATCCGGGAGACTTATTAAAAAACCCAAACGTTATGTACATTTTATGGTCTAACACAATCAATCAGTTGCATGCATTACTTTGTGAAGTTACGCAATCTTCTAATAAAAGATATTTATTTTCCCTACATGTACATTTAATAACTACATTTATTTGTTATCACTGGTTTTGCCAATTTTTTTTAATAAGAAAAATTGTCATAGTAATGAACGAGTGAATGCTAACTAACTATTTATTAAATTTATTCATTTTTTTTAATTTTATGACTTTATTAACAGCTTTCCACATTTTATTATTATTGTTAGCAAACCAAAGCTTTTTAATGCTCGTTTTTCAGTTTCATTTTGCGTAGCATAGCCTACATTATTAACGTGCCATTTATTCCTATCTCCGCCATTTTTTTCCGTTATTACAGTAAATACTATTTTATGTACATTTGTATACAATATTTCTCAATTTTTGTTGTTCATATTGTAATCAGTGTTCCCTCCGGACACTCTGGGGGGGAGCTATGTGGAGATAGAACCTTAAAACCTATTTTGTAAATAATTTTTCATAGTTTTCGCATGTATTTTCATATTCTGTACATTAAGCATTAAACAATTGTACTTGTTGTTTAACTGTATTACTTTGAACGCTTGTAACACTCCTTCCTTCCGTTTTGAGTACAACATACCGTGCCACTGTTAATTCTCCTCAACAAATACACTCTAATTCACGTCTGCATCGTTCTGTCCTGTCTGCTAATATGTTGAATGAAATATTAATTGCATACCATCTACGTTTATAGACAATTGCGACATTCTTGTTGAATTCTACGCTTGGTAAAACTACTGGATCTATATCGTCCATATTGGGATTATTAATTTTGTTATAATTGTGGAGTATCTGGACCAAACCCAGCCGAACACGCAATAGCCTGAAGACTTAAGTAACGTCCCTTATTTTGTTATTTTTGTGTGTAATTACTTATTAACTGTTAATTGTTACATAAACTATAGACATAATATTTTTGTTGCTAAATTTTTTGGTTATCAAACATTGTGGTCCGCCACACCCGCTGTTTCAAAAAAGACGATCTCTACCTTGTTCCTAACTTCATACATGCAACCAACTTGTATGCACACAAAATGGTCAGTATGAATGAGAATAATTTGTTTACTGTACTTAAGGAAATCGGCTTTAGTTTATGTCTTTCACATATATACTCATGTTCGGCAAATTACTTCCAGCTGTCGTCCGAAATTTACCCTATTTATCAGTGTGATCACGTGCCAAGTGAATTTTTATACAACTTCGTATTTATTAGTAGTGTTACAAAGTCATATCACGGTTAAGAAATAACGAAGAAATATCCTCGTAACTACATAAATGGTGTAAAGCTTGAAAAAACTAACCAATACGGTAGTTGGAATTTTTTCTACGTGGTTATACTTCTATTCCTTCAGTTAGGTTATGAACGCAAATGCAATCATAAATCAACACACGCTATCAGCACACCGGCACAAGCATCATCCAATTTGCCGACTAAATCAACTATAGTGATAGTATCAACATTTATACATTGTTGATCGTCTCTACATTCGGTTACTATTGTTCTAAGCTGTTCACACATTAAGCTATTAACTACCGGCTACTTTCATACATTTTGATGTTTTAAAATCTACCGATACCGAAACACTGCATTATTATAATTTCAATTCATTTAACCCTCAAATGACATGCACGTAAATTCTCATTTTGGGAGTGTTGAAAATAAAACCAAACATTTTGAAATTATCACACATAATTGGCGATAGTTTGCTGCCACTATCGTTTCGCTTCATATTTCACTTTGTTGACACCCGGAGGATCCTAATTATTATCTGAGTAACCGTCTGAGCGCAATAATCTCACTCAGTATTGTATCAAAATGAAGTCATGTTGATCCTGGTAGGAGAGTAATGTAGTGTTGTTGTTCCTGAACACGTTCCTTGAAGCCGAATTTATGATAACGAAGAATTACATTCAACACCATAGAGAAGGTCAGAAACGGCGAACACGAGAACTGTCGATCAATATATTATGACTTGACTATTCGGATGTGGTCATTTTTGCATAACCCCTTGCTTTTCATATTATATCAATCACTTGATTTCCGACAAAATCGTATTCGTCAGAAGTCCTTAGCCACAAACATTTGCTGTCATGTAGGACAAGTCAGTATGTGTGAATTTCACGTAAGTTTTGATTGATAAGGTAGTTGAGGAATTATGGTCTACTTAGCTAGTAGCACGGCTCTAATAATAGACCTAATCCTAAATCGTAGACTCGTCATGGTGTAACTGCCTAATCTATAAGATCTTATGTGGAAGTCACATCATTGCATACACTGACTCATCGTTTTGCAACAATCGCCAATATATGATGGGGAACGCATCTAGGTTGGAGTTGGAACAATACATACAAGTTACACAAGAGTGACCACGCTAGCAAGGCTGAGCCATAACATTCGGTGAACTGAATTAATTCTTCCTGCTTTCTCCATTGTTGGGTTTTTGACCGCGTTAAGTGCTGAACATATTTTCCCACTTGTCTCGTATTCAGCTTTGAGGATAGTATAGTTATGGCACAACGCAACTATATGGTCACATCGTGGTAAATTTACAGTTGTGAAATAGATCTATCGTTCTAACAGCATGGAAAAATACAATAATGACAACCTGTCTATTGGATGTATATTAAGTATGCATAATATTTTGTTACACTGTAGTGACCTGAACCTGCATGCCAAGCCATGCCATGTCGATCAAGTGTTTCCGCGTTCTTATTTCCGACGTTCTCCACGATGGTGAATGCAAATCTTCTCAGTTATCGTATGTTCTGCTTCAATGATAACCAATACCACTTCAATCTAATGAAGAATAAACCTGAAATACAAGCTTTTTCTATTTCCAGTTAAGATTATATTCTATAATGTTCGTTTGTGTTTTCATTGCTTGAATGGGTTCAAAAAATGACCTGAGAATTCATAACAATGTTATGTACGATTGGCACTTTGACTACTAAATGAACTACTAAATCTGAAAGTTTGCTAAGATGATTAAGCCTAATCACTGTTCATTCACATTACCTACCTTATGTCAGAAGACAGGTCTTGATAATGGCGATGTTAAGTCCTTATTGAGTCCCTTTTGAAACTAAAGAGTCTTAACCGTCAAATATTAATTTTCGGTATCATCGTAGAACTAAGATTAAAGTCTAGCGTTTGCATGAAAAATGGTGGCTTACCAATGCTACTGGTTAGCTGTTATATGACTAAGTCTTTTCGAAATTTAAATGTTTGATTCCGATTTTTGTTCTTGTATTGAAGTATTTCATCTATACTTTACGATTGTAAGGAAATAATTGGTCATATATTGCCAAAACGATTTCAAGACATACCATAGCTTGTGATCACATCACCCTCATTACATTCTTTTTACACAAATCACAAGGTTGTTGTGATATTCAGAAGTATTTGGCCGATTATAAGGACTGGGACTCCATAAGCCGACGCAATTTAGGCCAAATAGAACAAGGTGGGCACAAACGAACGTATTATATTTACAACCGTAAATCAGGCAGACATCGAGTGCAAAATAATCATTAGTTCATACAAAACACCACAATCACATAGCTCCTTATACGTTTCATTTTCCCATTTCGCTTCTTAACCACATAACAGAAACAAAACAATTAGATAACTAAATACATTAAGATTACATCCACCATTTGTGCTGCCAAGTCTCGTTACAATATAAAAATGTATGCTACAGATGGGCATGACTTCACATTGAGTTTTAACTCGGGACACTCCGAATAGTTAACTCATTAACTGGTAATATTCTTTTTTTGAGATCCATGTTTACATTTTTGCAAATAAATGTCTTTTATCATGGATATTTTTCTAAGGTAAAGTCCACTAGGTAGAATCGTTTTTACACTGAAAAAAATAGAAACAAGTGTAGGAAACATTTTGTCTAAGAGTAGATTGATTTGAATTTAATTGATCAAAATTCAGGTGAGCAGCAGGTAATTGCGTGTAAATGTAGACTAGAAGTAGGAATGCAGTTGTAAATCTGAGCGAAGAGTCGACACAATGAACTCGTCATTACTTCAGAAATATTCCAATGTTGATAACGAGTAGAAAAGTCGTAATATTTCCCTAAGGTAGGCTTCAGTGGCCCTAAATTTGACTGTAGTTGGATTGTTTCTAATTGCTATTTAGATATACATGTAAGCTATCCTCGCATATAATTATTGAATCAATCCACGTTGGTGAATAACGGAAATAAATAAGCGGAACACGAAAATGGGTTTGTGAATATGTATATTTTGTACGTTCATTGATCTAGACAGACAATCAAGGGGAACGAGGCAAAGAGAAAGCAAAAACAAAATGACGTGAAGTGAAGAAGGCGTATGAGTTAACTCGACTTAATCATGTGGTAATCACTATTTCTAGTCAGAACAAAGGTAAGCTACAGACATTCGATCAGTGGAATAATCAGTCAACACATATATGATTATATAAAAAGAGTCAGAATAAATAAACCAATAAATAACAAGGTCAAAATGTGATTTAAGAGGAACTAACATATTGGCTTATCTAGAAGTTAGATTAAGCTATGTGGGCTTAACATAGCACATGACGTTATAATGTCCCTCAGCAGGCGACAAAGTAAAATTTTTCGGGAAATTCTCTCTTATTTTTCTTTACTTCAAAAAATCTCTTTACTTTACCAGTAATTGTCTTCATCTCTCCTTCTTTGTCTGGTACGAAAAGAAACTTTGTAGCAATAATAAAGCCTCGTAAAATCGACTTCTAACATTATTCGCAAAAGATTTACACAAAAAGCCATGAACAATGGAATTTTTGGCGGCCACATTACCACTTCAACATGCCCTGGGCGTATCACGTGCGGTGCAGTCAGTTATGACTGAATAAAAATCCTAATACAGCAGGAGTTACACCTTCAATTAATTCTGCGACAGAGTTAACTTTAAAATATCCACAATTAAGTTACCGTATAAATGAAAACATAACCATAGTTACTAACCACGATACACTTACGTGACAACATATAATTTATTCCTACTCATTTTACTGAATAAGTGTTTTTTAATCGTACGGGATCGTATCGCTATTGTATACCCATGTTGAAAGGATTGATCACCCTGTACCAATAACTTTATTAGTAATGTTAGAAACATACCGATATTTCTAAAATTCATTGAAGGTATTTATTATATTCTAACGAGAAATAAATGCATGGTAACTGCTAGGAATTGTTTGTGGACGATTATTACATGTATTCTTATTGTACAACTACTAAGTAACTGTCATGTTATTTCACATTCTTTTTGTTATGAGCTTCTATTCGATCTATTGACTACTACTACTACTACACGATTAACTATTCTTGATTTATTTTCAATTTATTGGTTGAGGACTCTCACACACAGAGCAACATTTCGGCTTGATCTTGTACAATTGTCATTTTGTATTTTATAGTATGATATGAGGGTGGAGTTACTGACCAATAAGCATTGATAGTGAGGGCGATGACTCTAATCCACCCGTGTTTGTAGTGCAGAATATTTTGTTTGCATCAGGCTCTTTAAGGATGACAACAAGTCAATCAACCTGTGATATTGAGATTGTTCTCCTGCACTCACCATTCAGACTCATGTTTCTA